TGCTGTGTTTTAATTTTTTGGCCCACACCATGTGGCTTGCAGGATCTTAGTTCTCCAACCAGGATGGAACACAGGCCCTTGGTAATGAAAGCATGGAGTTCAAACCACTGGATGGCTGACCACAGAATTTGTGTTATGTTCATTTAAAATTACCATTTTGACATTTTGATTAATAGACAGCCAAACTATAACCATTTATTGTTCTAAGGCATATATGAGTCTATGTTAATCATGACCACATCTCCTTTTATAGCTTTAAAATTTTTTTCCCTTCCAAAACTAGAACCTAAATTCAAGAAAAAACACAAGATGCCTTTTGTTATTCAGAGATCCCCTGGAAATCACAAATATTATTGTTACCTTCTTAAAAGAGAAAGTTAGAAATGAAGCTTATTTGGTATGCTCTATTTTTTAAAATTATTTCCACAGTTTTAAGAGGTGTATAGAAGGAACTTCCCAATCAATACAGTAGCATATCTTTCCTTAGTTAATTGTATTTGATATTCTTTTAAGAATAGAATGTATGTATATTTAAGGTGTACAACATACTTTGCTATATAATACATAATAAAATTATGTACTGTAATGAACTTACAATAGCAAGCTAATTAAAACATCCATCTCCTCCCACAGTTACATTTGTGTGTATATTAAAAATACCTGATATCAGAATTCCCTGGTGGTCTAGTGGTTAGGACTTTATGCTTCCACTGCAGAGGACATTGGTTTGATCCTTAGTTGGGTTAGGTAACTATGTGTTAGTTGGGTGACATATGCCATGTAAGGTAGCAGAAAAACAAAACAAAGGAAAACAAAAAATCTGATACCTACTTTCTTAGCAAATTTCAAGTATGCAATACAGTACTATTAGCTGTAGTCACCATCTAGTACATTATATCTCTAGAAATAATTCATCTTGTACAACTGAAACTTAATATCTGTTGACAACATCTCCCATCTTCCCCCACCTCCCTGCACCTGGTAACCGTCATTCTACTCTATGCTTTTGAAAATTTGACTATTTTAGATTCCACATATCGGCACAATCATCTAGTATTTTTCTTTCTGTGTCTAGCTTCTTTCCTTGTCTTAGCATAATGTCCTCCAAGTTCATCTATGTTGTATAATACTGTTGAAATGGCAAGATTTCTTTCTTTTTAAAGGCTGAATAGTAGTCCAGTGTGTGTATGTGTATATGACAGTTTCTTTATCCATTCACTTGTTCATGAATACAAATTTTTTCTATATCTTGCTTATTGTGACTAATGCTGCAATGAACATGAAAATATAGATATCTCTTTGAAATACTGATTTCATATATATATATATATATCAGTTTAGTCAGTTCAGTTCAGTCGCTCAGTGGTGTCTGACTCTTTGTGACCCCATGACTCGCAGCACACTGGGCCTCCCTGTCCATCACAAACTCCCGGAGTTTACTCAAACTCATGTCCATGGAGTCGTTGATGCCATCCAGCCATCTCATCCTCTGTCATCCCCTTCTCCTCCTGCCCCCAATCCTCCCAGCATCAGGGTCTTTTCCAACGAGTCAGCTCTTCTCATGAGGTGGCCAAAGTATTGGAGTTTCAGCTTCAACATCAGTCCTTCCAATGAACACCCAGGACTGATCTCCTTTAGGATGGACTGGTTGGATCTCCTTGCAGTCTAAGGGACTCTCAAGAGTCTTCTCCAACACCACAGTTCAAAAGCATCAATTCTTCGGTGCTCAGCTTTCTTCACAGTCCAACTCTCACATCCATACATGGCTACTGGAAAAACCATACCCTTGACCAGATGGACCTTTGTTGGCAAAGTAATGTCTTTGCTTTTTAATATGCTATCTAGGTTGGTCATAACTTTCCTTCCAAGGAGTAAGCGTCTTTTAATTTCATGGCTGTAATCACCATCTGCAATGATTTTGGAGCCCAAAATAATAAAGTCTGACACTGTTTCTACTGTTTCCCCATCGATTTCCCGTGAAGTGATGGAACCAAATGCCATGATCTTAGTTTTCTGAATGTTGAGCTTTAAGCCAACTTTTTCACTCTCCTCTTTCACTTTCATCAAGAGGCTTTTTAGTTCCTCTTCACTTCCTGCCATAAGGGTGGTGTCATCTGCATATCTGAGGTTATTGATATTTCTCCCAGCAATCTTGATTCCAGCTTGTGCTTCTTCCAGCCCAGCATTTCTCATGACTGCATGTCCCTTTAATGTCTAACTTCCCTAACCCTAACCACTCAGGATTATTTAATTTTCTTGGGAATATAATTTTGTGTGACTTAATATTTAATATTGATTATACCCTAGACTTTGTTATAATTTTTTTGAAATTGTAAATTTATTTTTCAGGGAAAGATACAAATCATTTCTTTCTCATGGGGAAAAACAAAAAACTTTGAAGTTTTTCCCAAACCTAGCATATGCATTTCTATATGATTTTTCAGATGGACATTTATATATCCTCCATTCTTCTAATTCTTTTTTTTTCTTCTAATTCTTCTTTGAACTAACTTACCAACTCATTAATGAAATAAATAGTAATCACTGATACATATTCATTCTATATTTGTATAAAGGTCATGTTTTAAAAAATCATGCTCTTTTAAAATCACACTTTGGCACTTCCTAGTAGCTTCTCTGATTTCTCTTTTCTAATTCAAACTACACAGTGCTGTCAGTCTGAGTTTCCTAAAATACCACTTATGACACTCCTCTTGGTACAATGAAACATCCTACCAACAGGATAAGTTTCCAAAAGTTATTAGCCTGGCATTCACAATCCCTCATTGTTGCGGTCCAGTTGCTTTTAGAACTTTATCTTCCACACAAACTCTTATTTCAGTCAAATGAAAATATAGTAATTTTTTTTAACCAAGATGTATTAAAACAGTAAGATATAAAGATCTCGTCTGACTTGTTTTACTGTCTTCTTACCTTCTTGAAATTTCTGTTTCAGCAATCTAACTCGTTTTATCTCAGCCGTTAACCCACCATGGGAAGTGACTGCCTGAATTCTTACAGTGTTTCCACAATATAAATAAAGATATATTGTGATGTAATAAAGATATATCTGATCCTTTTTCCTGATTCCTGGTACAGAGCATCAAAAGCTCTTGGAGAGGAGTATATTTTTTATTACCAATGGGTGACTTATGACGGACCCCTCAGTTCAGTTCAGTTCAGTTCAGTCGCTCAGTCGTGTCCGACTCTTTGCGACCCCATGAATCACAGCACGCCAGGCCACCAACTCCCGGAGTTTACTCAAACTCATGTCCATTGAGTCGGTGGTGCCATCTAACGATCTCATCCTCTGTTGTCCCCTTCTCCTCCTGCCCCCAATCCCTCCCAGCATCAGGGTCTTTTACAATGAGTCAACTCTTTGAATGAGGTGGCCAAAGTACTGGAGTTTCAGCTTCAGCATCAGTCCTTCCAATGAACACCCAGGACTGATCTCCTTTAGGATGGACTGGTTGGATCTCCTTGCAGTCCAAGGGACTCTCAAGAGTCTTCTCCAACACCACAGTTCAAAAGCATCAATTCTTCAGCGCTCAGCTTTCTTCACAGTCCAACTCTCACATCCATACATGGCCACTGGAAAAACCATAGCCTTGACCAGATGGACCTTTGTTGGCAAAGTAATGTCTTTGCTTTTTAATATGCTATCTAGGTTGGTCATAACTTCCCTTCCAAAGAGTAAGCGTCTTTTAATTTCATGGCTGTAATCACCATCTGCAGTGATTTTGGAGCTCAAAATAATAAAGTCTGACACTGTTTCCACCGTCTCCCCATCTATTTCCTATGAGGTGATGGGACCAGATGCCATGATCTTAGTTTTCTGAATGTTGAGCTTTAAGCCAACTTTTTCACTCTCCTCTTTCACTTTCATCAAGAGGCTTTTTAGTTCCTCTTCACTTTTTGCCATAAGGGTGGTGTCATCTGCATATCTGAGGTTATTGATATTTCTCCCAGCAATCTTGATTCCAGCTTGTGCTTCTTCCAGCCCAGCGTTTCTCATGATGTACTCTGCATATAAGTTAAATAAGCAGGGTGACAATATACAGCCTTGATGTACTCCTTTTCCTATTTGGAACCAGTCTGTTGTTCCATGTCCAGTCCTAACTGTTGTTTCCTGACCTGCATACAGGTTTCTCAAGAGGTAGGTCAGGTGGTCTGGTATTCCCATCTCCTTCAGAATTTTCCACAGTTTATTGTGATCCACACAGTTGAAGGCTTTGGCATAGTCAGTAGAGCAGAATTAGATGTTTTTCTGGAACTCTCTTGCTTTTTCAATGATCCAGTGGATATTGGCAATTTGATCTTTGTTTCCTCTGCCTTTTCTGAAACCAGCTTGAACATCTGGAAGTTCACGGTTCACGTATTGCTGAAGCCTGGCTTGGAGAATTTTGAGCATTCCTTTATTAGCGTGTGAGATGAGTGCAATTGTGTGGTAGTTTGAGCATTCTTTGGGATTGCCTTTCTTAGGGACTGGAATGAAAACTGACCTTTTCCAGTACTGTGGCCACTGCTGAGTTTTCTAAATTTACTGGCATATTGAGAGTGGCACTTTCACAGCATCATCTTTAGGATTTGAAATAGCTCAACTGGAATTCCATCACATCCACTAGCTTTGCTTGTAGTGACCCCTAGATAACCTCAAAGTGGGGACTGGTCACCAAAAAGACCAACCATGTGATGAAAGGATTAGATGCTTAGGACTTTGAGTCAGCCTGACCTCTAGGGTGGCAGAGGGAGCTAGAGACTGAGTTTAATCATGTGGCCATGAGCATGCCCTTCTGGCTTACACTCTGGGTGTGAAACAACTAACTGTTGGAGTTAACAAAATGGATTCCACTGAGCCACCCTATAGCTAGAAGAGATACAAGGAAATTGTTAAGGAAGTCAGCCCCTACATTAAGATAATTGGCTACAACCCTGACACAGTAGCATTTGTGCCAATTTCTGGCTGGAATGGTGACAACATGCTGGAGCCAAGTGCTAACATGCCATGGTTCAAGGGATGGAAAGTCACCCATAAGGACGGCAATGCCAGTGGAACCACCCTGCTTGAAGCTCTGGATTGCATCCTGCCACCAACTTGCCCAACTGACAAACCCTTGTGTTTGCCTCTCCAGGATGTCTACAAAATTGGTGGTATTGGTACTGTCCCTGTGGGTCGTGTGGAGACTGGTGTTCTCAAACCTGGCATGGTTGTCACCTTTGCTCCAGTCAATGTAACAACTGAAGTGAAGTCTGTAGAAATGCACCATGAAGCATTGAGTGAAGCCCTTCCTGGGGACAATGTGGGCTTCAATGTCAAGAACGTGTCTGTCAAAGATGTCCGTCGTGGCAATGTGGCTGGAGACAGCAAAAATGATCCACCCATGGAAGCTGCTGGCTTCACAGCTCAGGTGATTATTTTGAAACATCCAGGCCAAATCAGTGCTGGATATGCACCTGTGCTAGATTGTCACACAGCTCACATCGCTTGCAAGTTTGCTGAGCTGAAGAGGATTGATCGTCGTTTTGGGAAAAAGCTGGAAGATGGCCCTAAATTCTTGAAATCTGGTGACGCTGCCATTGTTGATATGGTTCCTGGCAAGCCCATGTGTGTCGAGAGCTTCTCTGATTATCCTCCCCTGGGCCGTTTTGCTGTGCGTGACACGAGACAGACAGTCGCTGTGGGTGTCATCAAGGCAGTGGACAAGAAGGCGGCTGGAGCTGGCAAGGTCACCAAGTCTGCCCAGAAAGCTCAGAAGGCGAAATGAGTATTATCCCCAACACCTGCCACCCCAGTCTTAATCAGTGGTGGAAGAACGGTCTCAGAACTGTTTGTCTCAATTGGCCATTTAAGTTTAATAGTAAAAGACTGGTTAATGATAACAATGCATCATAAAACCTTCAGAAGGAAAGGAGAATGTTTTTGTGGACCATATGTTTTGTGTATGGCAGTTTAAGTTATTAGTTTTTAAAATCAGTACTTTTTAATGAAAACAACTTGACCAAAAATCTGTCACAGAATTTGAGACCCATTAAAAAAAGTTTAATTGAGAAAAAAAAAAAAATCATGTGGCCAATGATGCATCCCTTGGACTGCAAGGAGACCCAACTAGTCAATCCTAAAGAAAATCAGTCCTGAATATTCATTAGAAGGACTGATGCTAAAGCTGAAACTCCAATACTTTGGCCACCTGATTCAAAGAACTGACTCATTGGAAAAGACCCTGATCCTGGGAAAGATTGAAAGCAGGAGGAGAAGGGGACGACAGAGGATGAGATGGATGGCATGGACTCGATGGACATGAGTTTGAGTAGGCTCCAGGAGTTGGTGATGGACAGGGAGGCCTGGCGTGCTGTAGTCCATGGGGTCACAAACAGTCAGACACAACCGAGTGACTGGACTGAACTGAGCTGAGGAAGCTATGGAAACTCCTAACGTTACAGCCAAGGCAGTCAGGAGTGCAGGTGGACCTATAGTTAGCGACTCTACTAAGGGTAGTCTCTGGCAAACCGAGCTCTTAACATTTGGAGTCTTCTAACACGGGGTATTAGTGTCAGAATGTATTGCAGTACCCCCCCATTTAGGACTGCAGTGGAGTGTATATCTAACACTCCACTATGTTAATGGAGTTAATGGAGTTAATGTTAAACTATGTTAATAGTTTATATTCCATGTATGGAAAAAGCTTATTAATACATTCGTCTGCCTTATCCAGCCATCATCTTAGGAATTCTCTCCCATGGCAGTGAACTATGTGATTTTTGCCTTTTTGGTACTGCAGATGCGATCAGAGTAGGTGCATGAGCTAAATAAACCAATAAGAGTCTGTCTTATTTACCTGAGTGAGGAAAGTGTATAGAAACACTGAAATGTTAATCTGTTGGCAGGTGTGCTAGAGCAGGAGGTATCTGGCGTAGTAAGCCTCTGACAGATTTTTATGGAATGACTGCATAGGACTTGAGAGGGCCATTTCCCCTCATACATGGAAAACTGAGAAAAAAGTGAGAAGCAGAAACAAAAAGATCACATGGATTGGGAAAGATGGTAAGATAAACACTTTGGACTCCTAAAGATTCTCCTATTCCAGACCTAGAGGCCCTTATACATCCTGCTTTGGTTTTCCTTGAAATGGACCTGCAGTTTCCCATTTGCCCAAATTAATTTGAGTACATCTTTGTGTCTAGTGTTTAAGGGTAATCTTTTAGTGATAAAATCATGATTCTCAGACAAGTATAAAAATACTATATATTAAAGATTTTACTAGCTCTGTAGTAGTTAAGGGCTTCCCAGGTGGCTCAGTGGTGAAAAATCTCCTTGCCAGTGCAGGAGATGCAAGAGACACAGGTTCAATCCCTGGTTCAGGAAGATCCCCTGAAGTAGGAACTGGCAACTCCAGTATTCTTGTGTAGAAAATCCCATGGACAGAGGAGCCTGCTGGGCTAAAGTCCATGGGGTCGCAGAGAGTCAGACATGGTGAGCACAGGCAGTCACATTAGTTAAATGAGGAAACCAGTAAGATGTTACAACAGATTCAAAGGAGAATCCAAACAAGAGACACAATTTATTGATCAAGAATATTGAAATGAATTTGCAAATGACTATAAAACCGACTTTTGGGAGAGAGTGAGAGTTGTCACACCTCTGGACAGCATGTATATGTTTGGCTCTGGACAAGAATTATCTGCACTGTTACTTGTTTTCTACAAGCTAATTTTAATCTCTAAAGAGTTATAAAATAGCCTAGTCAAAGACAAAAGTGGTTGTCTCTCTATGATCAGATCATTCCAGCATTATAGCATTTTATTGAAGGTACATCCAGTCTTCTTGTCTGCTTACTCTGCTGTCCTGTTTCCTCATACTGTTGAAAGTGTGAACCGTTAGCCATTCAGTTACGTCTGACTCTTTGCGACCCCTGGACTATAGCCCGCCAGGCTCCTCAGTCCATGGAATTTTCTATGCAAGAATACTGGAGTGAGTTGCCATCTCCTATTTCAGAGGATCTCTCCAACCCAAGGATCAAACCCAGGACTCCCACATTACAGGCAGATTCTTTACCATCTGAGTCATCACACTATTAATAGTAAACAAACGATTCCTGCATTAAAAGTGTTTTTCATATCTCTGTGTGAGAAAGTTATCCATCTTGTAGAAGATTTGTGCCTATGCAGAGACAAGAAGGAAACCCCTGCTGTCAGAGGTTGAATCAACCCAGTGACCAAGGGATAAAACCCCTTGTATCCGTTCCCCCAGGCTATCCTGATAGCTCAGTTGGTAAGAAATCCAATCCCGCAAGCGGATTTTAAACCACTCAAGTACAGGAATCTTGCCTTATGCCAACCTGACCTTTACAAAGTATGTTGTAAAAAGCAGCTTGGGGCAAATCAATATTTGCTAACTGATTGTTTTAAGTTAGCAAACTGAAATAAGAAATTTGAGACTCTGAAGATTTAAAACAACCAAAACAATGCAACAACAGAAACTAAAAACAGATACTTTTCCTAGCCTGCTGTCAGGAAAACTCAGAAACTGAAGATTCTTGTGATCTACTGAAGGAGTCCAATGAACTCACTGTCAAACCTTCAAGGCTTTACTGGTCTCATAATATAGAATATTGGTGAAGCTCCCAGGCACAGAGGCCCTTTTTTCCCTAGTTTCCTGTAGGTAAGCCTCCAGGACCTTCCCAGAGTTCCAATGGGCTAATCAAAGGAGGAGCAGCCAAGAAAGCACCTGAGGCAGGATTACAGGGAGCAGATAAGCTCATCATGGTTAGGAGACAGACCACCTGGACACACCCTAACCTTATCAGCAACCCCAACCTTGGGAAGTATTGTTAGAAAACTCTTTACCAAGTCCTCCCAGGTGGGGACACACAGCTTTTCCAAGCAGGAGCCCACTGTGTCCTCTTTTGCCTGGCAAAATAATAAAGCTATCCTTTTCTACTTCATCTAGAACTCTGACTCTGAGATTCAACTCAGCACCAGTGCACAGAGGCCAAGCTCTCAGCATCACAGCTATACAATAAACATCACTTATGCTTCTGGGCTTCCCTGGTGGCTCAATGGTAAAAGAATCCGCCTGCAATGCAGGAAATCCAAGAGACGTGCATTCAATCCCTGGATAGGGAGGATCCCCTGGAGAAGGAAATGGCAACCCACTCCACTATTCTTGCCTGGGAAATCCCATGGCAGAGGATCCTGGTGGGCTATAGTCCACAGGGCTGAAAACAGTCAGACACGACTTAGCGACTAAACCACCACCACCATCGTGCTGCTGGGACTTTCCTGGAGGTCCAGTGGTTAATACACTGCACTTCCAATGGAGGGCATGAAGTTTCAATCCTTGGTTGGGGAACTAAGATCCCACATGCCATGCTGTGTGGGTCAAAACAAAACAAAAAATCACTTAGGCTGTATTTTATATATGGAAAAGAAAGAAGCCTGTAAAAAAAAATTGGGGAGGGGGATTTATTGTAGAAGGTACTAGGGGAAATGGGCTGATTCTATCTTTTCTTCCCCCACCCCTCATCTCTCCCCCAAGTCCCAGGAAGCTAGTGTCAACTTGAAAGATTAAAGGATAAAAGAGAATGGAAGCTGCCAAGCACTCACTTAAATACAGCTAATAAAGAGACCTTAAAAAAGGGAATTCTTCCCAGGAGCTGACTGTTGGGGTTGGAAAGGCATGTCCTCCATAGAGATAAGTTGGTCCAGGGTGAGTGAGGAGACTGGTCCCTGATCATGGATCTCCCATCTCCAGAAGCTGCTTCTCTGGGAGATCAGTGTAAGACGTGCTTAGATAATGAATTCAGAAAGTTACACCTAGCTGTGAACCCACACAGGGGCCCGAGGACTGCTCAGACACAGGGCCCATGTCTCCCTGCCAGGCTGCTCTTCTCGCTGTAGCCTTCCTTCTTCTGCCTTCATGTGCTATCATCTTCCACATTTCTGTCAAGCTGTAAAGACAAACCTACCCTGGTGATTTGTCTCTTTGGGAGTTTTGTTGTTAATCACTACCAGGAACTAAACCTGAAAAACCGTGACAGAAAAAAAGGAAGCTACAGTGTTATTATAGTAGCCTAGTTTCTAACTTAGTAAATGACAAGTGGAAACCAATTTTAGGACTTCTGTTTTCCCCTCTACTTTTATTTCTCCAGTGAGGGGAAGAGTGGAGCTTTCCTCTAGTCCCACCCTCATATTCCACGTTAAGATACAAAGGAGACATGAAGATAAAATCATGGTACTAGATTAGATATCTCTTTGATACAAATGACAATTTACATATTTAAAACCCCTAGAGCTTTTCGTGCCCAGGTAGAATCCTTTTGCAAAACGAAGACCAAAGTGAGTTAGTTACCTACTTTTGGAAAGACGAAGAAAAATAATCTCAGTCGCAGTAGAAATTTGGAGCAACAAAATTTGAAAGAATAAACAAAAAGTTAAGATTAAGAGATGCTAAAGAATGCTAATTTTGAAAGAGTTTGCCTAGTAATATGAGAATTTCGATTAAGTTATATGAGAAATTCCTTACAAACTGAGGTGAAATTGGGCTCTGAGTATATAATTAGAAGAGAAGTTTCCTTTGGGACAAAGGGGACTCAATTTGTAGTCCAGAAAAGACTTTATTTTTTGTAACTAAAGAAATTACACTGGTAATGCCTGATACTTGAGTAACAGGAAAACAATGTTTTGTGTGATTCTTCAGAGAAGTAAAACCTAGTAATTCAAGATTGTAGCTTAACTACCAGGAAAGCTGTGGATTGGGTCAGGAGAT